TCAAAGTGCTTTACAAAAAATGAAAGACATTAAGAAAATAGCATTTAAAATCAGTCATTAAAAAGAAAAGCTAATAAAATAAACATTAAAAGAAAAAATACATGAATAAAAGTTACAGTGCAGTCTAAGATATGAATAGTTCAATTAAAAGCAGCGGCAAAAAGAAAAGTCTTCAGCCTGGATTTAAAAGTAGTAAGAGTTGCAGCGGACCTGCAGGTTTCTGGGAGTTTGTTCAGAAACCTGCAGGTCCGCTGCAACTCTTACTACTTTTAAATCCAGGCTGAAGACTTTTCTTTTTGCCGCTGCTTTTAATTGAACTATTCNGTGTGTTGTGTCGTGTGTGTGTGTGTGTGTGTGTGTGTGTGTGTGTGTGTGTGTGTGTGTGTGTGTGTGTGTGTGTGTGTTAGTGTGTGTATGTGTGAGACTTTTGTGTTTCTGCCCCTGCCATTCATGTTGTTCCCACTCAAGGTTACAACATTGTTGATAAATTCAAGCACCGACACTGGTCTGCTCTCACATTCCCGCATTATGTCTTGCGGGAACCAATCTTTATTCTCTATCTCAGCTGCAAATTTGGGTCAAGACACAATAAATAAAGCTTTGCCAGTTTGGGTCCTTATCACAACTGATCAAGATGGCCAAAAGATTGCCTTGCAAATGATTCTGGAAGAGAGAGAAACATTTGATGATCATGTAGAGGAAGAGGTTCCAGAATGTGAGGATCACATTTCGGAGAATTCTGAGACTGACAATGACTTTGAAGAAGAGGATGAGATTGAGCACAACAAAAAGGACCAGCCACTACTAAACAAGTAGCACTTTAATTCATTCATGTGATCTAACGAATGTAAAAGGGCAAATACTAACCATATATGCGGTTTATATTGCTTGTAATTGAGATGAAGTAAACATCTGTTGAGGATTTTAACATAAAATAGTTTGATTGTGTTGAATTGAAGCCCAAAAAGGCAGCGAGTCCATCAGACCCACGAACACTGGCTGAGTAAGAAAAATAAGAACGCCATACAAGGGTTAAATGTGCAGGAACCAGTGCGTGTAAAAGTGGTATGTGCATACAGAGCAAATATTATTAATATTCAATGCCGGTTATTTTTGATATGGGTTACAGGGTTAACCCTTGATCTGCACTTCCATATCTCTCTTTTGGTCTACTTTCTGTCTCTCCACCTACTCTCCTGGCCTCTCCTGTTTCTGGTGATCTGCAGTACTTTCTTCTTTGGCTCCTGCACCCTCGTCTCCCTCCACCTCTTCCTATACTGCTCTTTACCTCCTCCTACACTCCTTTTCCTCTGGTTTTATATCTCTTTTCCCAAGCAACCTCTGGCAGCAGCTGCATTTCTGGAAAAAGTATTTATAAGCAATAAAACATGTGAAAACGTGGAAGATATGAATGGATATTTATTAGGTATTGGTTGAGGCTGCAAGCTATTTAACTTTGTCTAAATAGGAGTCAATGGAGACTGTAAAGAGCAACTTAACATCTATTTAGCTTGAATATGCCCCCTTGACTTTTTCAGAATCTGTTGATTTTATCCTCTGCAACTTAACAAAAGCTTCAAATAAGAGTTGCGTATTCAGCTGTGGCTCTATGAAGTCTGGATAACCACCAGAGACCATGTGTGAAACCATCATTTCCACCACTGTGGAAGAATGAAATACAATTCCACCACAGAGAAGTTCATATCTTGGAGTGGGCGCAGAATGGACATGATCATAAATCAGTAAACAGGTCTTGAAACAGTTGCTTTTTAGTGTAGCAAAGTCAATACATTTTCTGGAGGTCGAGAGAAAGCAACATTACTGGCTTTAGTAAATACAAATCAGCAGGAGCAATTTAGATATCACCTTTGAGCGATGACCACAGTCATTTGAAAGTATAATAGTTCATATTGTAAAGCACTTTGAATTGCCTTGTTGTGGTTGTTTGGCTTTCCCCTTCCCTGTTGTGTGTTCTATAAGTGTTAGTGCATGTTAATGTTCTGCAAAGGCTAACATCCCTGTGCTTCTCTCCCACACACTCTCCCAGTCAAACAGTTAACAATCCTAAGAATTGTTTTGGAGAGTTTTGGAGAGATGGAGAAAAATGATGGCAGTGTCGGTGCTCTCTTTATATTTGGGTTTAACTCTCCGTGTGTCTTTGGGTCCCTTTGAGATGCGGTTTAGGAACGTTTTCCGTCTTTTTTGCAAATCCAAAAGTGTGAAGACTCTGATTTTAGTTGGTTGTCAAAAGGCTTAATAGCTCAAATTGGCTAGGACACCAATTTTATTTTCTGTCAATCAATTAAACGGTATGTCGTGTCCAGCTCTTGTCTGCGGGATTATTGAAATGCTTACTGGAATCTCATTATTTGAAGAATGCAGTAAACAGCAATGTAAATGCATAAGATCTATAATAGGGTTAGTTCTAGTTCTATAGAAACGAGAGACCTATTTGAAAAAAAAATTCAAATAGGTCTCTCGTTTCTCTGAAACTATAAAATATTTGTCGGTGAGAAGCTGATAGAGGCTGTGAGAGCATGACATATTTCCAACATTAAGAGACACAGGGGACAAATAACAGCTTGCCCAATACTAATTAAATGTTGAAATGCTTTCAATTTCACTGAAAATAGTTTTTCTCCCCCAAAACGATCTGGCAAAGCTTCAACTTTGCATTGATAAACTGCACCAGAACCCAATTTTATCTTTTTGTGATATGTCTGTTAAGATGTTCTATCACATGTAAATGCTTTCTTCCTCCTCTCCTCTTCATCTGCGCTTGATTCTGTCGTCTGTTTTCTATTCATCTTTCCTCTCTGTCTCCTTTTTGTCTGGCCCTCTTCTCCTCCTCCCTCTTTATGTTTGTCTACTTCCTATTCTCATCTGTCTGTTTCTTCTCTCTTTTCACTGTCTTCTCTCTCTTTCTGTCTGCCAGGCCGTGGCCTACTTAATGTGTCTTCTGCTTTGTGCCTGTTTTCTTTCATCAGCTTGGAACTTTTTTAGACTCTCCCCTTTTCCTCACCCCTTTATCTCTGCACTTCCACTGTTTCCCATTCACTCTTTCTCTCTCTTTTACCTGCATTTGTTCCTTTAATTTGTTCCTCTTTTCCCATTCCTTCCAACCTGTTATCCCTCCACCCTCTTCCTCCTCTGCCTCTCCATCCATTTTTACCTCGCTCTTCCATTGTGTGGATGATAGCTGTCAGGAGATCTCATCACTGAGTCTCTCTTATTACATGATTACAGGGTAATTATCCTGTGAAGTTGTCTTTGCCCGAATCTTTGTTAGACGCTTAATGTCTTTTTAATGGGGTTTGGAGACTTTTTAGTCTTTTGTAGTTGCTGCGGACTCTTCAATGTATTGCATTTACATGTGATTGGCCTGGAACACTGTGTCCTGATTAAGTGGCACTTCTCGTCAGTCAGACTGGCTTCATTTATAACTTCTGGCCTCGGCTTTGTCCTAGACGCCGTCATCTGCCAGTGTCTGATGAAGCTGGGCCTGATTAAGTTTCTCTGATGATCAGGACGAGCGTGGAAATAAAAGCTTGGCGTGGGTTTTAAAGTAACGGGGAAAGGCGGGCAAGTAAAGTGTCATGTTGTTCATCAATACTGTAACCTTCCCAACTTCGATGTAGAGTTGTTCAACAAGTAGCACAGTCCCAGAGCGTAGATTATTATGGAACATCTATTTATCAATGTCTATCCCATATGCGCTCACATAGTTTCTCTCCCAAATATTGGATATGTGAGGGATAATGTTCAATTTGATCGAAATCACATGCTCAATGATCACCCTGTGTGTTTTTATTAATGACCGCCTCGTTGCACATTATTCCGCTTAATATACGACCACATACTAAATAAACCAACGTCTTGACTCATCATATTAATTAAACATTATTTTATTGACTTAAAGTCATCGTTTTCTTCCGCTAAGAAAATAAAGTTCATTTTCCATGAACCAGTCTTTACACGCTGCCATAGCCCCTACCATGTTCCTGTTGGGGTTTACTTCCTGTCTGTCTTCTACTGCTGATCCCGTTAGTGTTTACTTCCTGTCTGTCTTCTACTGCTGATCCCATTAGTGTTTACTTCCTGTCTGTCTTCTTCTGCTGATTTTCCTGACGTACAGCGCTCTGTCTTTTAACCTCTTTCTTTACTTTTTTTTTTCTTTTTTTACTGGGGACATCATGAATCCAAAATCCAAAATCTGCTCTCCACAGATATAAAAATGAATATTCAAAAAAGTATTTCACTGTGTTTTCTGATGGAAGAAAACTAACCAAACTTCTTTCTGCTGATTGATATGACTGATCATCAGCAAGTCATCACCGTATGAGATGCTTGAATGAGAAAATCTTCTGTATTTAACTTGATTAAAAACAATTCGGATGATGATCTATTACGGCTGAATTTACTTTGATTGAGTGATTCATTCAGTCTAGATGAAGCAGAAAAAACAGGGTATAAAGTCTTGATGAATAATGTCCAAACTGTTTTGAAGCTGCTGCTATTTCATTGAAAATTATTTCATGCTGTAGAAAAATACTTAAGATTTAATGTAAGTTTTCAGGGTTTTTAAGTGTATTACTTTACACCTAACTTGTCTTTGAAGAAAATGTTATTCCAAATCTCATAATTGTACAAAAATGCACATATTTTTGGTACAGTTGGTCCCAGTGAGTATTAAAATCTCTGTTGATGTTTATGTGTGTTATTCTTTATACTGGGTTGAACTGACAACTCTCAAAAAAACAGAACCAAAAGCTGAGTTTGCTGTTAACAAAAGTGCAAATTATCTATTTTTTACCTTTCTGTCATTGCCCATCAGCATTTTTCCCGTTCTTTGTATTATTCTGGTTGAATGCAGCACATTACTTCAAACACAAACAATATCAACATGACTGTCTTTTCCCAAGTGGCTTCAGCTCAGTTCACTGAACACAAACAATATTAACATGTAATTTTCTCTCTCTGTGTTTGTCTCTGCGCAGCTTGAAAGCCGCTGCTGTCTGTGATGCTCTCCCATGACGCCCAGGTCGCTAGCTGACACTGCCAGTGAGCGGGAGACGCCACTGCACAACCGGTCCTGGGCCGGCACAGTCAGCCGGTTCTCGCCCTCCCACTTGCACACTGGAGATTAAACTCCACCCACCTACCAGTATCCACAGCCATCAGCTCCAATCCACCCAAGTAAGTTCCTTTCATAAACCAACTCACTGACGTCCTCGGCCAGCACCAGCAGCAGCCAAAATACGCAGTATCTTCAACGCAATCAGCAACACCAGCACAACCATTATTAACACCACCAGCAGCAACCATCATGTCCAGTCGTAGAAAGTCCTCCACCCCCTGCATGGTCCGGGTCGTGCATGAAGAGCAAGATGACCCTAATGAGGTAATGGATATGGAAATATTGACGGACAACTATGCGACAGAAAACGAACAATCAGAATCATCCGAAACTGCAGAAGACCTCCAGCAGGAGAACTCAGAGAAACCAGACCAGCAGACGTTTCCAGAAACAGTGGAAACCCAGAATACTGAGCCATTAGAACAAACGGAGCAGTTGAGAGAAAAAGACCAACCCCCTGTCATTGACGATGAAGAAACCATAGAGGAGAAGGACAGGGAAGAGGCGGACTCTGACCCGCTGCCTCAGAAAAAAGAGTCCAGAGGCTATGAATGCAAATACTGCCCGTTTTCTACACGGAACCTGAATGACTTTAAAGATCACGTAGACTCCAGCCACCCTAACGTCATTCTCAATCCGTTGTACCTCTGTGCTGTCTGCAACTTCAACACCAAGAAGTTTGACTCGCTCACAGAGCACAACGAGAGCCAGCACCCGGGCGAGACAAATTTTAAGTTCAAGCGGATAAAAATGAACAATCAGACTATCTTAGAACAGACAATCGAAGGCAAGGACAATTCAGTTGTATGCAAAATGTCAAATGAACAGGACGACAGCAACAGCAGCTTTATGTTTCCACCATGCATATCAACCACAGTGAAAATCCTTGACAATATCCAGTCACTGTATCAAGGGGGGGAACTGAAAAGCCAGAATCAGAAGAATCAAATCACAGCAGTCAACATCAACGGAACAGTAATCATCCCCGAACCCAATATCCTTCAACGGCTCTCGCATGTCACCCCAATGCTCCAGCGTCCGCCTAACTTTAACTCTGTACCAAAAATAGCTGTTCCCTTGAACACCACCAAATATAACCCTTCTTTAGATGACAACTTAACGTTAATCACGTCCTTTAACAAGTTCCCTTACCCAACGCATGCTGAGCTGTCATGGCTGACGGCTGCCTCCAAACACCCGGAGGATCAGATCAAGGTCTGGTTCACTACCCAGCGGCTGAAGCAAGGCATCACCTGGTCCCCAGAGGAGGTGGAAGAAGCCAGGAAAAAGATGTTCAATGGCACCATCCCTCCTGCACATCACACGTTTACTGCCGCTCAACCGTCCGTCAAATCCACCCAGCAGACCTTTGTCCACACCACAGTCGGACACACAAGTTATGTCCGGACCACTACGTCCAATGGGTTGAGTGTAGTCACCACCACAACTTCTCCCGGTGAAGTTGCAATTGGTTCCAGCCTTGCTATTAAACGATCTTTGCCAACACATCTAATGACAGTGTCTGGCCCGGAGGCTAAACGGCCCATAATGGCAGTTGCCCCCCATTCTGGCAATGCTAAAGACAGGGGCCTCATGGCTCCTCCCCCTCCTCCTCCCCCAAAAGACCGCCTCCCAATGGCTCCGCCTCCTGTCCCAATGGAGACGAGGAGACCTGTAGCAGTTCCACTGGTCACCTCTGAGATGAGGTGGCCATCCTCAACTGTGCCTTTAATGCCACCGCCCTCATCATCATCTTCTTTGTTGTCCAAAGGGAAGATTCTCTCTACGTTAGGAAACACCAAAACAAAGCCAGTGGTGTCCCTGCCCTCCCTAGTCTTTCCAGAATCTTTAACAAGGACCTTGATAGTTCCTCCGCCTATCTTTGCACCTTCATTTCAAAACCCTTTACTTTTTCCTATAACTTCGCCTATCACTTCCAAAGAAAAGCACCTTTATACTCATGCTTTGGCAGCTTCTGATCAGAAGCTGCCAAACTCCCCACCACTCAATGGCCAGAAGATAAGAAGGTCAACCATTATCCAGTCAATTCGGGCTCCTACTAAAGCCCTGTCCCAGATTCCAGGGTTTCCCTTCGATAGCAAGAAACTAAAAGAGCAACAAGGATTTGATTGGAATAGAGAGAGAGATAAAGTACTCTATCCTCTGGCAGAGGCCAACGGGATATCTCGTACAGACGGAAAATGGTCCCACAATCACAACTCCCTGGCTCAGCAAAATGGTGTCCTACGTTTGGATGGTGGTGAGCTGGCTGGAGTCCTGAAACCAGACTTTCATCAAAAGTCCTCAGTCCTGACCCAATTCCCCTTGCTGGAAAGGATGAAAGGAAAGACAGCGGAACAGCTGAAGATACTGGAGGAGAACTTCTTGAGGAATGGCTTTCCCACCCTTAATGATGTGGATAATCTGGCGGGCAGCACCAACTTGTCTCACGGGGAAATCGAGAGTTGGTTTGTTGAACGCCGTGCACTACGCGACAACCTGGAACAAGCCCTTCTTAACTCCATGGGCACTAAGAGGATGGGCACCGGTGGCATTGCTGCCATCACTAAGAAGCAACTACATCAACAACAACACCAAACCCTACAGCTAAATGGGATTCACAAGCCAAGCACTGGTGTGGGCCATCTTAAAAGCCCTTTGACTCCCTCGCATTCCATGCCCATCATTGCACCCTCCATCCCCGACCCTAATTCCTGCTCAGTGCCTCCAGACAGCAGATCCCAGGCCCTCCTCGAGGACAATTTTGCTCAAACGCGGTGGCCTTCCCCTGAGGAGATCAGCCAAATGGAGAGTCGGACAGGACGCGCTGAAATTGCCCGCTGGTTCCACGACAGTCGGCTGCAGAGCGGCCACATGGAGCTGACAGAACTTTTTGTGAATGGAGGGCAGGGGCAGCCTGTGTACTCTCCCAAAAACTCTCCCCCCAACATCCTCCAGCGCTGTCAAGAAGGAGCCCTGACAAACAACCACAGCAGTAAGATGTTGGAGGTTGAGTTGGGCTGGCTGATGGATCAGCGTGCCCATAGCCTCAGCAGTCAACAGCAGGATGAGCTCCACGACCGGCTTGCTGGCAGGTACTGGTTCCATAATTTTAAACACTTTTTATAGTCATGTATTTTGTTTACTTCTCTGGGCCTTTCTGATTTGAGTAGTAACAGTTCTCTCAAATTGTTAGTAACACTTATTCCAAACATTTGTTTGAAGTACTTAAATATTGTTGGAGATTCTCGAACACAGGGTAATGACAGGCAAGCAGAAGGGGTGAAAAGACAGTTAGGGTCGATAACCGCTGTAAACATTGGATTTTATGACGGACCTCTGCCCATCGATGGGATGGCAAAATGGCCGGTACACCATTGACTGTGGAAATAAATAGTTTAAACTGCCCATCCACTGATGGTCTGCATTCCAGTATAGAAATTGAGTTCTGGGAAAGGTTATGTTAAGAATATCTATTGTGAGTCATCTAACCTTGATTTTGGCTCACCCAAAAAATCAAAAACACATGAATTATGAAAAACTGTTTCATGGTCTAACTCCACAACAACAATATTCATAGTCTTTTCACATGTTCAGCTCTTTACTTACATGTATTAATGTGTTTAGAAACAAATATTTGATTTTACTTTACCAGGACTTTAAGGGTTACAAGGTCAAACAAGGTTGCAGGCAATGTAATATGGGCTTCCTGTCTTTTTGCAAACAAATGATGAGAGAGAGACATATCATATATCTGAATAAATGCAGACAATGAGGGATATCCATCTCCTAAACTTGTCCGTTAAACTGGACATGTTCGTGGGGTTAGATTAATGGAACCCTAACACTCGTGCAAATGAATATGATGCAGTGCTTCTAACCAAGCATGTCACATGAAAACAGTCAAGTCAATTTAATTTATATAATATAGCATAGAACCTCCTCTGTTTCTACTCACTGACATATTCTGGGGTGCGTCCAAAACACATTTCCTGCTTCCTCTCTGTGAGTTTTGTGTTGTTTTTGCCACATTAACATTGTTTCAGGACATTAACCAGCGAATTTACAGGACTCTATTTAGTCTGCCTTCTCTTCCAGGAGCCTGGGAGATCTTTGGCTAAATAACAGAGCCATTAGGTTGGAAACCAATATCTCCACAATCATTTAGGCAAGAGTTAATTTTTCCCATGAGTCAACTCTGGAATGGAAAGCACCACAGAATGAACATGCACTGACGGCACACTGACAACCTTCTGGTTCTTGTTGGTTTTATAAACTCCGTACACAACAAAACGCACTCTGTAAAGAACAATGAACAGACAACTAAAAATTAATGAGACAGGAAGGCAAGGTTCTTCTACAGTCATTATTGTTGCTTTTTAAACGTAAATCCAATGAAACAATTCTGAAATCTACTTTAGATAACAAAGGTTGACAGTAAATTGTGACCTTTTAATTAATGAAGTATTATTTTGTAATTTATTTTCCAAAAATGTAAACCCAGTTTGTCCTAGCTTAAACACAATTGAGGTACGAAGAGAATGTAGTCCTTCAGAATGTAATTATTTGATTATTATGAACCACTTTTGTTTATTGTGATTGTAAGCTTTAGTATCTCAAATAACAAAAAATGATGACTGTTCCCTTTGTTAATAAAAAAAACAATAATCAATCAAAACAGATTTCAAATATTATTTGATAGATATAGATATTTTTCCTTAATCTGCTAGAATTAAATATATGACAGATCGGTTGCGTCTTAACTTTACAGTGCCATCTAATTTGTTTAAGAAAGCATAGTGGTCCGAAAGACAATTTCTAAGCACCTTTCTGTTTCTGGATCTTAGTGGTTTAGTAGTGTTTTCATCAATCACCAGTAATGATTTAACATTCGAACATGTTTGGTAAATACGAGCGTCTCTCAGTTTCTGTATCTTAACCTGTGACTAACTCCAACAGACTGAGGCAGCAGAACCTGGTGGAGTTTAAGAACGGGGGACGGAACAGAGGAGTCGGGGGAGGAGTGCGGGAGATGTTCGGCAGCTGGCTGGAGGACGGACACTCGAGGAGGGGGCGGGATCTGCTCCTGGACAGAGAAAGGAAGATGACAGATGACACATCTGGGAGGCTGACTGGATAAACGGTAAGAGAGCTGCCAGGTTTGTTTCATGTCAGCTGTTATTATTTTAGAGATGTGGTTCTGGTTGAATTGTTGTTTTTCTTTTCACATTATGTGATCCCTTTTTGTATTTTATGTTAAAACTGTTTATTGAGAAGTCCTTCAAGCCCTGAGTGTTCTGATCAAAGAAAATTCTCTGAAAAGCTAAAAGTATGTCAGAAAAAAAATATGTATGTAATGTTAAAGGTGAGCTGTGGAGTTGTTTTGTATACTCACAAACACACACTGTGTTTATCCTTGAGCTCTTGCAAACATGTTGAATGTATGTTTGCTTCCTAATGAAAAGTTTCTGAACCTTCCTGTTTGACCGTTTTCAAAGGTTTTTAGATATCAAAATAAGTGCTTCTCTCTTCTAATTGCCACAATAATAAAATATACGGTTCAATACTACATACTAAATTATGATCACTCCATCAGCTTTCTGTCCCCAGAGTCAGAACTAAACATGGTAAAGCAGCGTTCAGTTATCATGCTCCAAATATCTGGAACAAACTCCCAGAAACCTGTAGGTCCACTGCAACTCTTACTACTTTTAAATCCAGGCTGAAGACTTTTTTGCCGCTGCTTTTAATTGATATATTCATATCTTAAACTGCACTGCAACTTTTATTATCTTTGCTTTTTATCTTTGCTTTTAAACAAGTGTTTTTAAATGTCATTTTATATCATTGCTTTTAAAAGAGTGTTTCTAGATATCATTTTATAATATGTTTCTTAATGCTCTTAATGTCTTTCATTTTTGTAAAGCACTTTGAATTGCCTTGTGTTGAAAGGTGCTATATAAATAAACTTGCCTTGCCTTGTAGCTACTCCATTGAAAACGTAATAATTAGTAGATATCAACCTGAATCCCTGAACAAGTGGGAGTCAGGTTAGAATGATGAAGATGAGAGTGAAAAAGTCAGTGCAACAGCTTCACGTTAGAAAAGAGAAAACATAGATAAGAACGCAGAGAGGAGGAGAGCAAAGACAGGAGGAAGGGTTTAGCAAGGCTTTTCTATCTAAATGCGTGCATGTACACACAACTCTTTCTTAAGCATGCACACATGTGTCTGTTCACTGTTTGTGTCAGGACAGAGTGTTAGAGTCCCAAGCCAAGAGATAAATGTATGAAATGTTATTGTGGCTGGGCTGGCCCGGCTCCAGAGGAAGTGCTTGGCTTTGACAATGCTCTCACCAGGAATGCACTGCAGGCCGCCGCCAAGTGGGCGTGCCGCTGATCTGGGGTCGGAAGCCAAGTTTGGTCGGTTCAGTTTTGGCCCCTCCGACGCCTCGGGGGACCCTTCTGCTCCGCTGTTGTTGAGAAACAGGGTGAACGAGAGGAAAAGAGGGAGAAAGAGGAGAGAGAGAGAAAGAGAGAGAACGAGAGAGAGAGAAAGAGAGTTAAAGTGTAGGTTTGTGTGTTCTTGTGAGCTTACTTTTCTATAGATTTGAATGTGTGTTTGTGTGTGTGTTTTCCCTTTTGAGAGGAGGATCTGAAAGGAATGCAACTGTTCCTTTACACATGTCCACCCCCCCTTAGGCAGCCACAGGGCCTGTTGAAAACGGACACGCATCCATGACACGCACACACATATGCACACACACACACACACACACACGCACACGCACACGCACACACACACACACACACACACACACACACACACACACACACACGTACCGAGGTTGTGGAATGGAAGGAAGTATCAAACTACACCGGCAGAATACTTATTAAGACTGAGGAGCAAAGCTGCCCATTAAGATTCCAGACTTTCACTGCTTAACTTTTGCAATAACAAAATAATAGGATCACAATAGAGAACAAATAATGTAACGTTGAATACCTTCAAACTCAAGCCCATCGTCAAGAAGTGAAAAAACGGACATATGCCATTGATAGTTGTTTTTCTAAACTTTTAAAAGCGAATGATAATAATGTAACATCACTCGGTGCATATTTGTCCAAAAAGAGGAAACACATTTGCTCCTTTATGTTGGGAGGTCAGATGACATTTTATTAAAAATACTATTTAATAGGTTTAATTTGTTTTTCTTTGTGTGTGCTGGCCCTTTTGTTGAAATAAAGCTGAAATAAAACCCTCCCCCTGGGTACAGGGTTAGCATAATGGTGGTATAATGCGAGAAGGCTGTAGCAGAAAGCAGTAAAGAGGCCGTGTGGTGGAGGCCTCGGTGCTGCAGACTGGCAGTGCCTGGTGATAAGAGGCTGCGGCCTGGATGGCCTCTCTGAGGGGAAGTGATGCAAGACAGTAGCTCTTTGTTTAGTGGCATTACTTGGTCCCATGCCAGTGGCCCCACTGAATGAAATGGACCGGTTGGCTTGCTTGCTGGCTGGGTGACTGGCTTCATGGTGGACAGGCTGACTGCCTGGCTGACTTGCTGGTAGGCAGGCAACTGCGGCACAAAAAAATCGTGGCTAATCCCTCTTCCTCTTCTTCTTTCTGTCTTTCTTTCTCTTTCGCTTCCCTGGCCTCAAAGAAACACTTAAGTCGTGAAATATTTTGTTGCATAAAAAAAGCTCCACCACTTTGAATTGACATACTGGAAGTGAAAAGTATTTTGAGGTTTGACAATAGTTTTCAAAGCTGATTCTTTCATGAAGAACTTGAAAGATGTTTTTAATTGAATATCTTTGGTTGGGGCTGAAGCTACCATTGACTGTTTTGGATGGATGCACGTTAAATCAGAGAAGCTTCTCAGAATCCTAAACAACAGCTCCTCCTCTGCTCCCTGTTCTCCTCCTCCTCTCATCTCTGCTTTCCCCGCCACTTCCCAAGTGTTGAAATGTGTGTTTTTCCTGCAGCTCAAGCCGTCCTGTCACACTTAGGTTCATTTTACTTTTGAATTCCACAGAGGAAAGAGAGCAGTGGAAGGGAGGGGGGCAGAGGAGGAGATACTGTGTGTGTTTGGACATCTGTGCATATGTGTGTGTGTGTGTGTGTGTGTGTGTGTGTGTGTGTGTGTGTGTGTGTGTGTGTGTGTGTGTGTGTGTGTGTGTGTGTGTGTGTGTGTGTGTGTGTGTGTGTGTGTGTGTGTGTGTGTGTGTGTGTGTGTGTATGTGTGTGTGTG